CCTCCATCTCCACATTCAAAAGGGCCTACCACCTTCCCTTCACATAGGCAGCATGCACTTCTACAGATCCGGCACCATGTCCCTGCCACAGCAATGTCAGGTAGTTTGTGCTTACGCCAGTGCTGTGTCACTGTCTTTTTGCGTGTGTGTGTTTTCTTTGGGGGGGAGGGGCTTTCTTGCTTTCTCCTTTGCTATTTATTATCCACACCCTTGCCAGTTTTTCACTCGTTCCTTTTTTTCCCCAATTAGGAGTCAGCAACTCTACCGAGCCATACCTGCCACATCCACTAGGCTAGTGCCACCAACTACTCCAGAATCATTAGTTCAAGCACAGATAAAAGCCAACATCTTCCCAGCCTGTCATCAGTTTCTCTTCAGGACCAGTGATCGTAGGTGAATACAGACAGTACTAAAACAGGAAGTGAACACCACGGTGTTCTCAAATTAGAGACCAGTGTAGCAAGCCCAACTCATTGACTAGATATATTAAAATGTAATAAAGCAAATCAGTCTATAATCAACACATAAATACTGAATACCACAATTACCTGGACACTTCAGACAACTTTAAAACACACACATACACACGGGAAAAGATAACTCATCTAAGTGACAAAATGGGGACCAAAGTATCTTCAAAATGAAAAAAAATGGCATTGGAACTATCTGCTCGTAATATATTCAAAATATTATTATTAGGTCCCTTTAATAAACGAATAAAGATATTTTTAATGCCACAGACAATTATCTTGAAGAATTTTTAAAATGAAAAACAACATGGGGACATATTGACAAAACAAATACAACATGAGAAACCATATGTGGTAGTTAGATGCTGTTGTGTCAACTTAAAGATGTACGAAAGTGTAAGGGTCGAATCCAACTTGTCAATCAGGTCACAGCCTAGCGATGCCCCCTTAGAGGTGTGGCCTCCTCATTAGTAGAGAAAAAAACCTCCTCTCTCCCTTGGACTTTGTCTTCCTGTTTGCTGGTACACTGAGAGCAGCTGGCACCTTACCATGTTTCCACCAACTTTGGAGCCACACAACTTGGCACCCAGCAGCTTTTGGCCTTCCTACTTTCTGGTTCGCCATTCTGTATCACTGGTATGTAGCTACATGAGTCTAAAGAGGGGTTTATGGACTAGCATCTGACTTACGGACTTGACCTAGATTAGGCTAGTATTCTTTCTTAAGGGGTAATTATTTCTTGATATGAAACTCATATATTGATGAGTGTCACTAGATTTGTTTCTCTAGATAACCTAGTATAACACACCATATGAAAAAAAACACAAATCCAGAAAATTAATACTCGGATTTTAGAATGCATTGGAAGGTCAAAGCAGTAGAAATGAATCAATGAAACACAAGATTAATAAAACTGAAGACAAAAATCTAAATATATATGAGAATAACAATCACACAAAAAAGGAGAAGAAGAATAAGAAAGTTGAAGAAGTATGTGCAATGCAAACAAAAGAAGTAACTCATATGTGATCAGAATTCTAGAACAAGAAGAAACAAAAAGCAACAAGAAACTTGTCAAAGATTTTGGAGAGAAAAATACCTTATTAACATTAAGGATTATAAGAAATGCATTCAAGAATATATATATATATGTATGTATATATATGTATATATATGTATGTATGTGTATGTGTGTGTGTGTGTGTGTGTGTGTATATATATATATATATATATATATATATATATATCAAGCATTCCAAACCCAAAGACAAAGAAAGAATCCTGAAAGGTATTTGCTTGTATATTACTAGTATGCAGACACATTTGAGTATGTGGACCATAACAAACTACGGATAACACTGAGAAGTAGGGGAATTCCAAAACATTTCATTAAGCTCATGTAGAACCTGTACATGGATCAAGAGGCAACCATTTGAAAAGTTCAAAGGAATACCATATAGTTTAAAATCAGGACATGTTTATGTCAGGATTGTATTCTTTCACCATACTTATTCAATCAGCATGCTGAGCAAATAATAGGGGAAGGAGGACTATATGAAAAATGCCGCTTAAGGAGTGGAGGAAGGCTTATTAAGAGCCCACGGTATGCATATGATAGAACCTAGCTTGCTGAAAGCAAGGAGAACTTGAAGCATTGATGGAGACCAGGGACTGCAACCTTTAATATGGATTAAAACTCAAGGTTAAGAAAGACAAAATCCTCACAGTTGGACCATTAGACAACATCATGAAAACAAAGAAAAGATTGAGGTTGACAAGAAATTCATTTAGCTAGCATACACAATCAGTGCTCAGGGAAACAGCAGTCAAGAAATCAAATGGTGCATTGCATTGCTATATAAGATATATTTAAAGTATTGAAGAGAATGGATGTCACTTCAAGGACTAAGGTGCACAGGACCCCAGCCATGATATTTTCAATTGCCTCATACTCATGTGACAATTGGATAATGAATAAGGAATACCAGAGAAGAATCAATGCATTTGAATTATGATATTTCATTCATACATTCACTCACTCATTATGATCCAGAAGATTCTGATTTACAGAAAACCTATAGGCAGAGTAGAACTATCCACCTCCCACCCCCCTCTATGGATGCCAAGACTGTAACTCGTTATGGGAGTAAAAAGTCCAGAGAAGTGTGATGTAGGCAAAAAATATTGAAAGTACTATGGAACCCCAAACACATATGTCTTGAAAAACATACTGACAAAATACTCCTTAGATGTGAGACTAGCAAGACTTCATCTAATATACTCTGAATGTATTTCAAGGGAAAACAGTTCCTGGAAAAAGACATCATGCTTGGTAAAGTGTAAGATCAACACAAAAGAGGAAGATTCTGAAAGAGATGGATTGACATGGTGTCTGCAATGATGAGCATAAAACACAAGACTGGGGAGTGTTTCTTTCTGTTATAGACACTGTGAGCTGGAGTTCACTAGAAAACACTTAGCAACAATAATAACAAATATAAAAACTAGACTCCAATTTGAAAACCTAAAAGAAATTGTTTGAAATACATCACCTTCCTAAACTAAGCAAGCTAATGTAGAAAAACTGAACAGCTCCATCACAAAAGAAGAAACTAAACAAAAGATTTTAAAAAAATAAAATTAAAACACCAACTTAAAATTAAAAATTCCTAGTCTAAATAACGTGACTGCACAATTCTTCCAAACATCCACAGAAAAGCTGACACCTATTATACTCAAACTATTCCAGAACTTAGGAAAGGAAGAAATATTGTAGAACTCATTCTATACAGCAAGCATAATCCTAAAACCACGAGTAAGCAAATAACCCATTGAAAAAGAAAATTGATGGGTGCATAAGCAAAGTGGTGAAGAAAGCTGATGGTGCCTGGCTATCAAAAGATATAGTGTCTAAAGGCTTGAAGGTAAACAAGGGGCCATCTAGCTCAGAGGCAACAAAGCCTACATGGAAAAAGCACACCAGCCTGTGCGATCACGAGGTGTCCAAGGGATCAGGTATGAGGCATCATCAGAACAAAAAATTATATCATTGTGAATGAGGAGTGTGGAGTGGAGACCCAAGTCCATCAGTAGGCAATTGGACATCCCTTTATGGAGGGTCATGGGAAGGAGACGAGCCAGTCAAGGTGCAGTGTAGCTATGATGAAACATACAGTTTCCTTTAGTTCCTAAATACTTCCTCCCCCACCCTCCCCAATATCATGATCCCAATTCTACCTTACAAATCTGGCTAGACCAGAGGATGTACACTGGTACAGATAGGAACTGTAAACACAGGGAATCCAGGGCGGTGACCCTTTCAGGACCAGTGGTGAGAGTGGCGATACCAGGAGGGTGGAGAAAGGATGGGGTGGAAAGGAGGAACCGATTACAAGGATCTACATATAACCTCCTCCCTGGGGGACAGACAACAGAAAAGTGGGTGTACGGAGACATCAGACAGGGCAAGATATGACTAAATAATAATTTATAAATTATCAAGGGTTCATGAGGAAGTGGGGAGCGGGTAGGAGGGAGAAAAATGAGGAGCTGATGCCAGGGGCTTAAGTGGAAAGCAAATATTTTGAGAATGATGAAGGCAATAAATGTACAAATGTGCTTTGCACCCTTGATGTATGTATGGATTATGATAATAGTTGTATAAGCCCCTAATAAAATGATTTAAAAATAAGAAAAAAGAAAACTGTAGACAAATATCCCTCATGCACAAAGATTGAAATATTCTCAACAGGATCTTCCCCAATAGAATCCAATAATCTACAAAAGTAATAGTACATCAAGACTGGAGTGATAGTTAGTTATTTTATACCAACATGCCACCTGTAAGAAGATATAGGCGAAGGTTAGCCTGTCAATCAGGTTGCAGCTTGATGACGTCCTTTGAGGTTGAACCAAGATAAACGGCTCTTTGGAGGTGGGCCTCTCTCCCTCTGTCTTCCTCTTCCTGCTGGCTAGCTAATCCTAGATCAGCCAGATCCCTGTGTTAAACTTCACCATTGGTTCCACGTGACCTTGAACCCACTGGCCTGTGACCTTCCTGCATTCTGTATCATTGCATGTGGATGTGTGAGCGTGAAAACAGATTTATGGGATAGTGGTCAGACTTATAGACTTGAGTTGGACTGGGCTGGGATGTATGAGAGTCCCTGAATTTGTTTCTCTAATAAGTCCAGCCTAACACAAATGGATTCATACTAGGTATGCAAGTTGTTTCAACAGAGGAAAAACAATCAACATAACCCATCATATAAGTAAAACAAATGGGAAAAATACATAATCACACCAATCTGCAGAAAGGGAATTTGAAAAAGTCCAACATACATTAATAGTAAAAATATTCAGCAAAATAGTAATAAAATAGAAATTCTATTAACATAATTAGGGTATTATTAAGGAAATATTACTAATGGCATATTCATAGTCAATGACCAACATTTTCAGTGGAGAGAGATGCAAAACCTACCCTTTGCAAACAGGATTTAGGCAACAGTGCCCTTTATCCTCACTTCTATTCAATTGTATTGGAGGTCTTAGCCAGAGTGAGAAGGTAAGAAAGGAAAAGAAAAAGAAGTAAAACTACCTGTGTTCTCAAAAACACATTGACTCAACAAGAAAAATATAGAAACTAATGGAAAGATTCAGCAAAGTGGTCAAGTATAAGATCAACATATAGAAATTAGAGTCATTTACATTAACAATGACAACACTAAAAAGGAAATCAGGAAAATGCACATAATGTACAATAGCCACCCAAAATAAGAAATACTTAAGAATAAATATAACCAAAGAAATAAAAGATCTACATGAAGAAAATTATAAAGCACTACTGTAATTAACTAAAAAATATCTATTGAAAGGGAAGATATACCATGTTAATGGATAGGAACACTTAACTTTGTGAAAATGCTAAAAGTTATCCATAAAAAAAATAGAATCACACTCACTACCATCAAGCTGATGCCAACTCATAGGGGCTCTTCAGGACAGGGTAGAACTGCCCCGGTGAGTTTCAGAGCCTGTAACTGTTTACAGGAGTCAAAAGCCTTGTCTTTCTCCCTCTAAGCAGCTAGTAGTTTCAAACGGCTGACCTTTAGTTGGCAGCCCAACATGTAACCACTAAGTATCCCTGGCTCCTAAAAGCTCTCTGTTGGTATAGTGAAATCCTAATGCAGATTTTATCATCATTCTTTAGAAGAATGGAAAATATAATTACCAAAGTTATAAAGAAATGAATGAGATTGTTGATAAGCTAAGGGTTACTGAAGTAAAAGAACAATTTAGGAGCCCTCACACTCCCTGCTTCAAAACCTACTAAAATGCAGTGGCAGTCAAAATAGATAATGTTTGTACAAAGATGGACACATTGGTTAATGGAAGAAAAGTTAGAATTCTAAAGTAAATCCATCCAGCTACTAACAGCTTATCTTTGAGAAAAGATTGAAACTCATTAAAAGGAAAATAATCTCTGTGAGGGTTAAGCGTTATGTCAACTAGACACTCCTGGCTAAGGATAGGGATGGAGCTCAATCTATTAATTGTATTGCAGTCTGATGACACCGCCTTGATGTCATCAGCCTTTTTGTATAAGAGAGATCATGAGCAGA